GGCAGCGAGCACGAAACACTTCTGCTGCACACAGAAGTGCGTTGGTTATCGCGTGAAAACGTCTTAGCAAGAATTTTTGAGCTCAGGTGTGAAGTTCAGGAATTTTTTGCTCATAACCCGTTTCACTTGTCTTCATGCTTAAAAGACGACATCTGGCTGCAGAAGCTGGCATATCTGGCATATATATTTTCTGCTCTGAATGAACTTAATTTAAGTCTGCAGGGTCTTAGTACCACCATTTTCAACACCCAGCACAAAGTTGAAGCTCTTATTAAAAAGCTAGTTTTCTGGGCCAGCTGGATAAATACAAACTCGGCTGAGTGCTTTCCTCTGCTATCTGAATTTTTGCAGTCCCGGGAAGCTGTGCTAAATGATTGCATCAAAGGCTTCATAACAGAACATCTCAAGAAGCTCAGCCAAAATCTGCGGACTTACTTCCCCCCTATGGACCAATCTCCAGACATAGATTCGGAATCCTTTTGATGTCACTCCTCCAATCCCACATCTCTCATTTCAAGAGCAAGCAAAAATACTGGACTTCTGATGGGAGACACAACATACTTTTTAAAAATAAGTCACTGGTGGATTTCTGGGCTTCAGCAATGGTGGAGTATCCAGGATTGTCAAACTGAAAGCTGAAAGTGTTGATGCCCTTTGCAACCACATACTTATGCGAGGCAGGCTTTTCTGCACTGAAAACCAAACAAACCAAACACCGACAAAGACTAAATGCTGAGAATGATTTGAGAGTAAAGCTGTCATCCATTACAATATTTGTATTTAGGTATTGCAGTCAAAAATGTGATGTTTAACTGGAGTTAGATGGTGGGGGTGCTTGACGGCTGTCAAACACTAGAAAGGGGTGCACGCTGCAAAAAGTTTGGGAACCACTGGTCTAAGGGATACCAAATATTGATACTAAATACTAACACAATGTCTAATTTCAGAGATTGGGTTTACCTTAAACACGTTAAACAAAACTAACTTAACTTAATTTTCCAGTAGCATGACAATAGATCCTCTGCTTTACAAAACGTTTAGCTTTTATAATAACAAACTATTTTTGCCCCCAACCATTCATTCAGACAAATCAGTTCAAAAAGCAATTCACTAAATTACCATACTGATTTCTCTGAACATAAATCTTTAAGGTGTTTAGTATATATATATATATATATATATTTGTTTAGTTTATGATGCTGTTTAGCATGTTTTCATCAGATATAGAAATTGAAGCGATTTTGTACTTTTATTAGTTGTATTTAGTGTTTAGTTTCTAAACAACTTAATAATGTCACTGAGATTCTCATTGCTTTTGTGTCCGATAAACACAATTAAATGATTAAAAGTTGATTAAAAATCATCTCTGGTAGTTAGATATGTACAACAATATATTTACATTATCCCTTTAATATCTGAAATGTAGTTAGCTACTTTTTATTAAGCTTATAATGTAGCTATACCTACTTTAAAAATATATATATATATTAACCCGACTGTAGGTTAACCACTTCAAATTAGCTTTTGACAAGCTAGAGTTTCAAAATTGCCCAACATTTCCCCAGATTTCCTAATCATCTGTCGTATCCCTACACTCACTGGGAAACTGAAAGTAAAATAGAACATTGAAAGAATGATGATACAGAGAAGGGGAGCAGGATGTCCGTTGAAAATAAAAATAAAATGGTGTGTTTGCCAAACAAAATCCTGTCCAGACCACGTACTCGGGTGGCTGAACTTCCTGTATGACTCGTTGCCCTAGGCTGACTTCAGTTGTACTAGCAAGCCTCACATCCATGCCACAGGTTATTTGAGGTAACCAATTAATGCACAGCATGCGTTAGCCTAGAGATTTGCCCACAACAAGTGCACTCTGACAGTAACCGTCAATGTCAAAAAACCCACTGACCATGTTTGAGTTTAAAGTGCTAAGAGCTAAAGCAGTAGTTCTCAACCAGTGAGTTACAGGTCTGTTTTGATAAGGTCATAAACATCAGAGAAAAAAAACAAAACAATTAAAATTACAAACAATAGAATGCAATTAATTATATAACTCTACATAGCTAGAATGGCAAAATGAGTAGGCTTATGAACTTTTAAGGTACGAAAAAAAAACACTTCCCAAAGCTGTGTGTCCATTTAAAGTCTGTTTACCTTCTAAAATCTAGCCAAATTAGGCAGGTGTCAACATGCTCTCATTATCAGAAAAATATGAACAGAACTATGCAAGGTAAAAGGAAATATGATTCAAACAACTTTACATATGGATTATATACCTATGGATGCAAATAAACATGATTTGTGCCAACCACAATGCAGTGATTTTTTTTTTTGGTAATAGAATTAAATCATCTAGGTTAAATCTTGGATCATCAACAGCTTTGGTGCTGTGTTGGGTTCCCTTTAAACTTGTCTTGAATCACAAAACATGTGAATATCCCGTGCTCGAGTCTGAAAGTACCAGAACCAGTTCTACTCTTGGGGAACCTAACTTCCTGTTATGTGTCTCTGTAAGATGGGATTTCCCCCGGTGACCGTTAATCAATTACCCTCAGCCCGAGGACATAAAAGGATGAATCAAGGAAGTCTGTCTTCTCTTACATGGTCATCGTTGATTTCAACTCTAGCACAAAAGACCCTGTAATTACGGCATCTAAAGTGGTTGACACACACACAGACACTTTAAAACAGCTCTACAAATTCACTCGCTCCCCTCTAGCCTAGAAAACTAGCAAGCCAGTTACCGAGTCCCAGGGCTGGATGATGCTCCACAAGCGCCCAACTGTTATCGTCCACACAATGGTTTTTATAGACGAGAAACTGGCACAGGTCTCGCGCTGTCATGTCAGCTGGGATCTCCACCGCCTTTCCCATCCCATCCTCGCTGAAGACTTTTATGATCTGAAATACATAAAATAAAAAAATTAAAAAATCAGATCTTAGATATGTAGTTGAGATTAAATTGAACAGAAAAATATGTCTTGTATGGAAAAACACATTTACACATTGGAAAATGTTACTGCGTCACAAGACAATTTTATTTTCAGGGCCCCAACGGAAATAAAATAAACATTAAAAAGTGATACACAACATATTTTTATGTGACGTTACAATATCTTTATACAAAAAAGAAAATATATGAAAATATTCTAAGGCTTTGACCCAGAGTGAAAAGCCATTAATGCTCAAATCTAGGTCTTTTCACATCCAAATTCCATGTCTAGACTACATCCTTACTAATATGAGTAGAGACATTTTTTTAAAATTTGAAATAGTTTGGTGCTCGACACTAAAAGAGTCCCGTGCCATAGTGTCCCCTTCATCACACACATACTAGCTTTTCTAGAAAATTCTCTATTCCTATTTGCAACATCGCTCACACTTTCTGAGATCTTTCATACGTTCTCTCACTCAGCACACTTCAGCCCACAACACATATATTCAGAAATATGTTACGCCAGCCTTTAAAGCTTTTCCACAACATTTACATTTACAAATTCCATCATTCACTCAAACTGTGGACGTAACCGTTCCCGTCACACTCTATTTTAGATTTTCAGTTTCATTCTACAGGTTATATTTTTCTCCCCACTAGAGACGGATATCAACTCCCCAGACTCTTCTAGTCGCCTAGAGGGAGAGGGATTCTGAAGTACCCAGGAGGAACTGTACATTTGGGACTGAGGAGAAATCTTACCTCCCCAGGCCTGAGCAGGCAACAGTCAGGAGAACACGATGGCATTTTCCCCAGCAGCCTGTGTCCTCCTCCACACTCTGAGAGATGAACCAGCTCCCCAAATATCTCCACAACTCCACAAGAGAGAAAAAAAGGACCAAAAAAAGGAAAAAAGCAGTTCCGATGCTTTGCAGATGCTTCTTCCTGTCAGTGGCTCAGCGTATCCTACCTGTCACAATCTCCCTCCTTCTCTTTCTCTCTCTCTCTAGCTTTGGTGCAGGACAGAGCATGCAGATGTCACTGTTTCCAGCTTGGCAGACAACTTGCCTCTGTTCCCCTCACAAAGGGTTACAGCCACAGGCTTTTAGGTAGTGAATCAAACCACACTTCCCTAACCAATCATAGGGCTAGCTCAAGCTGATGTAATCATTCCCACACAGACACAGTCGCACACACACACTCACACACCCCTCACACACACACACACACACACACACACACACCAACAGACGCATATACACAGACGCACAGTCATACACACGTACAGCCTTAACTCTGAAGTGCATATCTTCGGTTTCTTTTCGCTCTCGAAAGGAGAAAAGGCTTGTTTTTAGCAGCTCGTTTGTTTCCTCTGAAGTGAAGATGGCAATAGGACCGGACAGACAAAGCTTCTCGGCTGTCTAAACCTTAATTTTCCAGAGTCTTGAACGAGTTTCATGTGAGGACTTGTTGAAAGTTTTCTTACTTTCAAAAGCCCAGCTTTGAAGTTGGTAGTTTGAAGCCAGAAATTTCTCTCACGACAGGGCAAGACTCATTACAGCTGAACTGAAACAAATGCCAGCACTTGAGACGCCGCTCACTGCCTTCCCCCCAGCCAAACTTTATGCCAACATTCCTTCACTAAAGCTGAGAGAAAAAAATAAAAGCAAACCCCAGTGGTTTCATTGGTGACCCCTGAATTCACACACACACACACACACACACACACACACACACACACACACAAACACAAACCTAAACACATGCGCAAACAATGAAAGAAGTCAGACGCAAACTTTCAGACAGCTAATTCAACAGAAGACGGACACAAAGAGACTACACCCACCCATTTCTGTGGAAATGAATTGAGTTTTTCTTTTTAATGGACCCAGAGTTTCATCTTAAGGCTTCATCTCTCTCGGTTTTGACACTTGCACGCATATCTGTTTGGTGGCCCCTGCTAAAATTAACTTTCTGTGACCACAGGAAACCGGACAGAATGGATGACTCAATCCTTTTCAATCCTTTAGGAAACTATTTCAGTTATGGGGGTGGGGAGGAAGGGAGAGAGCGAGAGGAAGTTGGGGATAGAGGGCTGGAGGGAGTACTGGAATCAGTCCAGAAGAAAGAGTCAGTAGGGGTGGTAACATAAAAGGTATGCAAACTCTCCAGTCCTCCAGCTGGCTTGACTGCTCCTCCTCTTCTCCTCCTCTTTCTCCTCTCTTTCACTCATCACTCTACCATTTAGGCAGTCAGAGGGGAGAAGACTGGGTCACATATATGTGCACACCATCTCATAGCATCATAAGCTGAAGCCATGTCATGCAATGTACAGTGTGTCCATCATTACCCTACTGACCCATATTAAGGCATGGTGACTGTAAATCTGTAAATGTTTGCATCGTCATCTTGAACTGTTTATTTCTTTTTTTAACCTTTTGCCATTTTTATAGTATAGCAGGGACATAACATGATCACTAAAATCTGAGGAGAAAGCGATTTGTCAGTGGACACAGCACGAGCGTGTACGTGTTTTGCTTAATACCAGTTTTCTTTTTCTTTCATTTAGAATAAATATCTGCTAGTAGGGAGGATTAATTCATTTACTGCTTATTTTATTTAAAAACTTTATGCTGATTGTGCATGTTGTTTGCCATTAGTTGTAATTAGCTACAAAATCTACAAAAATACTTTTTGCTACCTGTTAATTTGTGCTTAAGTGGCAAACTGTACCGCAGGAGTTTCGATTTCAAGCCATTTGCATGCTATAGGCTTTGCTGTGCTAATTAGAAAGGTGTTGACAGCTGTATTCACTCAAGAGGGTTAAGCTGTGTATTTAAGTGGAGTCGGTTCGCTGATGCAGAAGCGTCAGCCCTCGTGTTCAGCCCTCCTCGTGTGAAGACTGATGAGGTAAAGACCTGCGACTCTACCTGCATGCCTCAACCGAGAGATGACACCGACAAGGCACAGTAGTATCTTTCCCTTATTCTACTTCCCTTTCTTTCCTCTCTCCACCACTTTTAACATGTGCTTCCATTATATTCCTGTTGTCTCTCAATGGAAACACTCTTACACAACACGCATTAGACTGTGTCCTATCCACACTTCTTTTATTGCACCCCTTTTATTTTCTATGGGCCTTTGGAATTGTCAATCAGCTGTCAGTAGTGTTGCTTTCGTCAACGAAAATTATGACTAAATATCGTCGTCAACGAACCTTTTATCACGTGACGAAAACGAGACGAGACGCAACGAAAATGCTGGTCGTGTGATGATGACTATAATTAAATGTATAATGCAATATTGTTGACGAATAAAAACGAGACTAAATGTGGTTTACAAAATAAAAACTATGCTAAAATGTCTCTTCATTTTCGTTGACCAAAACGAGACGAAACGAAATGTTATTTCGTCTCGTTTAGTCGCGTTATTATTATTATTTTGCAGTATTTCTGTTTCCTGTCTCACTTCAGGGGCTGCATCAGGTCGCACTGCGCAGACGCAGGCGACGTCACTTCCTCAAGCCCCACTCGCGGCATTATTTACACCAGTGTTTCCCAACCGGGGTGCGGCTGTCGAGAGCAGGGTAAAACTAGACTAAAATAGTCATGGATAATTCTGACTAAAATAAGACTAAAATGTTCAGACTTTTAGTTGACTAAAACTTGACTAGACTAAATAAGTATGAACATGACTAAAACTAATAAAAACTAAATTTCGTCGACTAAAACTAGACTAAAATGTCATCAGTTTTCGTCGACTAAAACTAGACGAAAATAGTCGTGGATAATTCTGACTAAAATAAGACTAAAATGCTCGGACTTTTTTAGTTGACTAAAACTTGACTAGACTAAAAAGAGTATGAACGTGACTAAAACTAATAAAAACTAAAATGACAGCTTCACACAAAGACTAGACTAAAACTAAAATTAAAACAGGCCGCCAAAAACAACACTAGCTGTCAGCAAAGCTGACTACATTCCAGCCTTTGCTACTCAGTCAGCTCTTAGTCTCTTGGGCTTGACTGAGACCTGGATGAAACCTGAAGACACAGCTATCCCTGCTGCTCTTTCCAACAACTTCTATACAACTCAACAACTACCCACACCCCCCGTCAGGTTGGGAGAGGTGGGGGTACTGGTCTCCTCATTTCCAATAGCTGGAAATACCTCACATGCTCTTATAACTTTAACAAAACTTCTTTTGAATTTCATGCTGTTACAGTCACACTCCATGTAAAAGTCCACATTGTAGTTTTATTTATCGCACTCCAGGTCAGCTGAGCAACTTTCTAGAAGAACCGGACACACCACTGTCCTCATTCCCTGAGGATAGCAGCCCTCTAGTACTTTTTGGTGACTCACTGCTATCTTCATTTCTCACCAGTTCACGCTGCCAAAACTACCTTCTTCCATAACAAGATCAACAGCACATCAGACACACGCAAACTCTTCAAAACATTCAATACTCTCCTTTGTCCCTCTCCGCCACCTCCCACCTGACCATCCTCTCTCCTCCAAGTCTCTAAACTTATCCTCTCCAGCCACCCTACAACCTGCCCTCTAGACCCAATCCCCTCACATCTCCTACAAGCTATTTCCCCTGCACTTCTGCCTTCACTCACACACATCAACACATCACTTCTTGCAGGCATTTTTCCCACCGCATTCAAGCAGGCTCGGGTAACCCCACTGCTTAAAAAACCTCCACTAGACACCTCACTTGTTGAAAGCTACAGGCCCGTGTCCCTCCTCCCATTCATAGCTAAATCACTTGAATGTGTTGTGTTCAACCAAGTGTCTTCCTTCCTCTCACAGAACAACCAGCTGGACAATAACAAATCTGGATTTAAAAGTGGCCATTCAACTGAAACTGCCCTGCTGTCAGTTGCTGAAGCGTTACGGAGTGCAAGAGCGGAGTTCAAATCTTCAGTTCTCATTCTGCTAGATATATCTGCTGCATTCAA